TTCCACCATATCTTAATCCAAAAAGCTTTGATATGCTTACAGGTCCACCAAATATGATAATAGGTAGCATCCAAGTATCCACATCTCCAACATTTCGGCTGTAGATTAGGGTACATAATGGACATTTTCTTTGGGTCAAGGTGCCATCTATAAAACATCTTATAAAAATTCTCTCTTAAATTTTGCGCTTGTGTGAATTTAAAATTTCTTATCCAAATAAGTTCCCAAGTATCCATTGAAATCGTTTCACCAATATTCTGTGCCCATTTAATCATACAATCTTTAACTAATTCAGGTTCTGAATCTAATTCCACTAAAACCCCATAAACTCTCTTAATATGGGTTGGCCTTTGGTCTCTTACTTCTTTTAAAAAAATTCCATCTTCTCTAAGCCAGCCCATTTTACCATCCATCTTCCATCTATCCACTATTTGTCTATATTGGAACCATGAATAAGTTAAATTTTCATGTGTTAATTCTTCCAAAGATTTTAACTGACAGTCTTGGCCATCCCATCTTAGTAACTGTGCATATGAGACCTTATCCATATTTACCCCTTTCCTTATACCTTCTATGGCATGCCGAGGTATAGCCCATAATGGTATTTTGAAGTCACTTTTATAATACTTTCTCCACACTCTTAACAAAGAGATTCTTATAATATGAGACTTAAAAACCCAATCCACTTTTTTATTAAATATTAAATAGGCATGCCATCAAAAAAGTAGGTCCCAGCCTTCCAAATGAAGTATTTCTATATTTGTTAAATTCACCCAGTCGCTAATCAAAGTCAGTACTACAGCATCATAATACAATTTCATATTTGGCACCTTGAGTCCACCTCTCTCACGAAAATCTTGCATTATTTTAAGTTTCACCCTTGGTTTCTTCCCTGCCCAAACAAATTTATTAATACCTTTTTGCCATTCATCTAAGTTACGTTCGTTCTTTAAAACAGGTAGCATTTGAAATAGAAAAATAAACTTTGGCAGGACATTCATTTTAATAACTGCAATTCTAACCAAAAGGGATAACTGTAAATTATTCCAATTTTTTAAATCCTTCTGTACCTCCATCCACAGCTTTTCATAGTTATTTTTGTACAATTTTACATTAGAAACAGATAGTGTAACCCCCAAATATTTTACCTTATCAACAATTTCAAAATCTGTTAAGTTGACTAAAGCCTGTTTATCACCATTAGTCATATTTTTAGCTAATATTTTAGTCTTATTATTATTAATTTTAAAACCAGAAACACATCCATATTGTTGAATCAATTGTAATAATTTCACCACCGAGGACACAGGTTGAGACAAAGTAACAACCAAGTCATCTGCAAAGGCTCTTAGTTTATATTCTTTTTTATTAATTTCTATTCCTTTTATTTCTTGAGACTCCCGAATTTTAATCAACAAAATTTCCAATGTTAAAACAAACAATAACGGGGATAAAGGGCATCCCTGTCTTGTTCCCTTTTCTATTACAAAAGCCTCTGACAAACCCCCATTTACAATAATTTGAGCAGTCTGTTTTTGATATATGTTGGATAATACTTGTAATATATTTTGTCCGAAGTTCATCTCCTTAATTAAACACAACATAAACTGCCAATTCACTTGGTCAAAGGCTTTTTCAGCATCCAAAAATATCAGACCTGCAGGGACTTGATTATTCTTTTCTAAATACTCTAGTAAGTTAATAATTTGTCTAACATTATTCTTCATGTACCTTCCAGTTATGAAACCCGATTGATCCCTGTGTATAAGCTGCTGCAAGATCCCCATAAGCCTCTTAGCTAAGATTTTTGCAAAAATTTTATAATCCACATTTAAAAGAGATATAGGCCTATAATTTTTAGGCAAAGTGAGATCCTGACTATCTTTTGGAATCAGAGATATAAATGCATTACGCCAGGATGGAGGGATTTCTAAACCCTGTAATAACTTATTAAACAGTTCACACAACGGTTGAATCATCTCTTCTACTAAAGTTTTATAATAAATAGATGTCAACCCGTCCGTACCAGGCGCTTTGCCCAATTTTAATTGTTTAATAGCTGTAACAATTTCTTCCTTAGTAATTAAACCGTTAATCTTTTTTCCCTGATCTTCTGTTAATTTAGGAAAGTTAACTTTGCCTAAATAATTATTTATGTCTATAGTTTGAATATTAGAACCCTTATATAATTTTTGATAATATTCTAAAAAAGATTTCTTAATCAATTCTTTCTGATAAACCAATTTACCATTATAATTTATTTTATCTATATTCCTCTGTTTCTGTTTTTTTCTTAACTGATAGGCCAACCATCTCCCTGGTTTATTAGCATTACAAAATGTATTTTGTTTCATAAATAGCAAATTGGTTGCAGCTTGATCAGCCATCAGCATATTAAATTGTGTTTTTAACAATTTTAAAGCTCCTTTAACCTTTTCATCTGAGGGATTTGAAATTAAAGATTTCTCTTTTAATTTCATCTCCTCTTCCAAGTCTTTCCGTTTCTGAGTCTGTTCCTGTCTATGCAAATTATTCATTTTTATCAAAATACCACGCATGAAAGCCTTACTTGCATCCCACACCATTGACATTGATGTTCCCTTATTCATATTTAAAGTAAAATATTCCTTTAAACATTCCTTTAATTTGTGAACATTTTTTTCTTTTTTAAATAAGTTCTCATTCACCCTCCAGGATCTCCTGTCTTCCTTCTCTGCAAACAGTTCCATCCAAACTGGACTATGATCGGACAGTGTCCTAGGAAAAATTTTTACATTCTTTACACTGTTGTATAAATCTGTTGTAATCAAAAAGAAATCAATTCTTGAAAAAGATTGATGTCTATCTGAGAAAAACGTAAAATCCTTTTCTTCTTGATTACGTTCACGCCAATAGTCTCTCAATTCCCAATCTTCTTTCATATCGAAAAAGGCTTTAGGTAGTTTAACCTGTTTAAAAAAGGTAGAAGAGCCTTTTTTATCCATTTGTGTGTCTAAGACACCATTCCAGTCTCCCATTAAAATCACAGATCTATAATCCAACAAAGTTATTTTCTGATGTAGTAACCTGTAAAATTGCTCCTGTTGCTGGTTTGGTGCATACAACCCCACAATAAGGAGTTTCTTACCATATAAACCAAGTTCAAGCATAACATATCTTCCGTAAGGATCTGATTCTAACAGGGTAGCAGATAAATTCTGTTTAACGTAGATTACCACACACCCTTTCTTCCCAGGGGCGGGAGATACAAAATGAGATCCCAAGCGAGGATTATTTAAATATTTTTGGTCTTTAGCTGTAATATGAGTTTCTTGCAAGCAAATGATGTCATTGTTCTGTTGTTTCAAATAGTGGTAAATTTTTTTTCTCTTTTGAGGAGTGTTTAATCCATTAATATTCCAGGACAGGAGCTTTGCCATCTCCCTTGGCCTTCAGCCTGGATAAAATCCGCTCAAATTCTGCTGCTGATGAATATGTAGCAGAGCTTTTGGATCTTGCTCCTCCCACCGGCACTGAAACAATTTGCTGAGTAGATTCTCCAATTTCTTTTTCCTTTTCTTTTTTCTGTTGTTCTTTTTCTTTACGTTTATGTGCTGCACGGGTCATTCTCTGTTCTTTAATCTCTGATTGAGACATCCATGCCACCTGTCCAGCAGTCATCATCCCTGTAGCTTCAGATTTCTGTTCCACCTCTTTATCACTCAAAACTTTCTGCATCATGGGCAAAGGAGAGCCTGCTCCCAGGACCGTTTTATAGAATTCCTTAGCTTTAGCAACTGTGTTGAGTCTATAACGTGTCCCCGCATGGCTCAAAACAATGCCCATCGGAATCTCCCATCTAAATGGCATTTGTCTTGCTTTAAGTTCATTTACTAAAAAAGCAAAATCTTTTCTGCTTCTTAAAATTTTAGGTGGAATTTCCTTAAAAATAATAATATCTTGGGCAGCAATCTGAAATCTTTTATTATAAAAAGTTTGTAGAATCTGATTTCGCAAAGACTTCTTAGCAAAATATATCACCACATCTCTAGGCAGATCCCTCTGTTTTGCACCCCAGGAGTTGACTCTATAAATTCTTTCCACATCCCCACGTAACTCTTCTTTATCAATATTCAAAATAACAGCCAAGTCATTAATCACCATTTCCATCAAATCTTGAGTTTTATCTTCTTTCAGACCCCTTATTCTCAGAGCATATTCCATCTGTCTGTACTGGAACATAAGAATATCATCTTGTGAAGCCTCCACTTTTTTCTCCATATCTTGAAATTTATAATCCAGAAGTTCAACTGTTTCTTCAATTTCCTCTACTCTGGAGTCCAGCTTCACGACCACTGAGGCCATTCCAGATAAAGCTAAAAGTATATCATCCCTCAAAATAGCATTATTCTGTTCTAAAAGCTCCTTCATCTCTTTCTTCATTTCCTCCTTAGTTTCAGATTTATTCTGATCCAAAAGTTGTTTCATTTCCTCACTAAACTGTGAAACAGCACTTACCATTATTTCTTTAATGTCTTGTGCTGATGTGCCAGATGGGGGAGGTGAAGGTGGAGTAGATTTAGGTTGCTGCACTGAAGGTATTATTTTAAGTTGTTGCTGCACAGTAGAAGTAGCAGGAGAAGAAGTTACTTTAGAGGCTGCAATAGCTGGTTGTCGTTTTGAAGCCATTTTAATTTATCTTCCTTTCTTCTTAAAAGTACCAATAAAAATAAATAGTCCAAGAAAAAATTAAAAATAAAATAAAATAGAATAAAGTAAAAAAAAAAGCAATATTAAACAACAATTCAGCCGAACCGTCTTCTAAAGAAAAAAAAAGTTTCAAAACGCCATTTTACTTTCACTCTCACTTTTCCGCCCAAAAAAAAAAAAGAAAGCTCGAAAAAATAAAAAAAAATCAGCACAAACTAAATAAACTAAATAAACTAGAAAAATAAAATAAAATAAAACTAAACTATAAATAAAATCCTTTAAACAGTTCTGTCCGGTTTAAGATTACTCACGGTTTCTTTATATTCGGAGATGGTAGCGGCGTCTCGCTTTGTTTCTGAAGAAACAAAGACAGCTGAGAGGCGGAGAAGCAATGAACTCCGAGGGAACCTCTTTCTCCCCCTAAAAATAAAAATCCAGGGAGAGTTAAGAGGTTCTACCTCTATTCATGCAATCTCTACCCCTTCCCTTCGCTTGTAAAACCCTGACCACTTGGCAGTGTAATGCTATCCTTCAAGCATTATAGGTATGACATTTTGCCAAACACAGTTTACTGTGTGTTTGTTGGAGTGTATTATTTACATACAAAAGTATTTGGTACCTCTCAAGCTTCAGTTTTCAATGCATGACCATGCATTTAAAATAAATATACAGACAGAAAGTAACAAGAAAGGAGAAAATGGAAAGGAAAGCATACATTCCCTATAGTAGAGGTAATGTTGTTTTATTGCTCCAGGCTGGCAATTTTAAGAATAGCAAATGAAATAGAATTTTTGTTCTGGCTACCATTTCACAACACACACAAAAGAAAGGAAGGGAAGGAAATATACCTCTATGTGCACAGAGTGAAAATATTTTCTAATGAACTCAGGGCACTGGGATTGCTGACACAACCCTTTGACAGACCTGGACAATACATGATTGTTACCTAATTATTTTTCTTTACCTCCCCCCTCTCCCCATCACATTATTATTGGATTCTCAGAGTAGCAGCATTAAAAGGAGAATCACAAAACAGACTTCAGTCACTTTGTAGTTTCTTCTAAAAAAAAGTTGATCAGAATTGAAAATAGTCAGCTAAAATGGTAAACTTGAACACTGAAATCTTGAGTGTCACTTTCTTCATTTGTTTTTTTAAAACAGTATTTCTTGTTTGGAGAGTTTGCAGTGCATAGTTTTTTTTTAAATAGTTTTAGAACTGTATTGTTTACTTATAGTTCTAATAATGGATTTTTAATAGCCTTTTATTTTGCTATTTTATTGTAAACTGCTGTGAAAAGTCCTGTAAGCACTCTAAGATGATGGCGATAATAGTAAGCAATCAAAACTCCTACTTTAATGCATGAGATCCAAATTTTTATAAGAATGCATAGAAAGATAAATCATGTTTGTATATACTAGCTTTATTTTTCATAGTGTATTCTGCTTTTCAGTATCAAGTTTACAATACATCTGGAGTTTGGGAACCAGGGAAGATGAAATAAGGCTATGGATATTGCAGTGAATTTGTGGACAAGACAGGAACAAGAGAATTATTGTATTACAATCCTTGAAGAAGAGTTTTTACAGAGTCAAATTTTGGGTGCTTTCACTTTAAAAGTACTGTGATCTTGTTGGCTTGAACTGATTATTTAAATAGTTTTAAAACTTAATTCAAGTTTTACATTATCAAGCTCTGATTTGTACTTTTACCATTATTGGTTTGGTACTTAGTATGTACTATAACATTGTTTACAGTGTATACACTATTATGAATGTGGTGTTAGCTTTTTATATATACATTTTATCATATCCTTCATTGTAAAATACTTCCAGGATTCATTTCATGTAACAAATCATCAGCTAAAATCTAATAAAAATGCAAAACAATGGGAAAAATCAATACACTATTTTTATTATAATTGTTTATTTAATACAAGTTGTTTGGAGAGGGCAGTTGTTTCTAGTCTCATCTTTCCTGAATGAATGCAACATGAAGGATTTATCTTCTTTTGTACAATTTCAACAAGAAGTCAAGTGGAGCAATTTTTGTGCATGGCTCAATTTCTCTCTGTCCTCTTCTGCCTCAAAGCTGGAATTGCTTGCAGATGCAGAAATGTGATTGCAAAGCCAAGCAGGTAGCTTTAGAGTTGAGGATATTGCATATGGGATTGTTAAAAGAGATGTAGTACATGTATATTATTGGATCTCAGGAACTTTCAGCGTCTAATTAACCAAATACTGCATGCAGGTAGCCTTTCTGCACTAGGAATCTCAAATACGTTCTCTGAAATTGTTCCTTCCCACCACCACAGGAGGGAGAAGTGCCCTCCTCCAGAAGGCAAACATTTGCTTGGTTTTCCATCGTATTTGTAGGCAAGGAAATTGGTACTCATGCTTTAGGCATGAAAGTCAGTTGGATGACTTTGGGCCAATCACTCACAATCCAACCTAGCTCACAGAGTTGTTGTTGTAGGGAAAATAGGAGGAGGAAAGAATATGTATGCCATCTTGAGTTACTTACCAAAATAAAGGTGGTATAAAAGGTTGAACAACTGGCCCTGTGGTGTAGCCAGAATAAAATGGAACTGAACATGTTTAAAAACTGTAGCAATGAGAGTGGATTTTAGGAGGAGAGCAGCCCTCCTACTCTACCACCTCTTACTGTATTCAACAGCACAGTATCAGCAGTAGAATCCTTCAAATTTTGGGGTTCTAAAATGTTCCAGGATATGAAATGGACATCTAACATTAGAACTGCCATTAAAAAGGCACAACAAAAAAATGTTCTTCCTGTGTCAACTTAGGAAGTTCAGACTGTATCAAAATCTTGCTAAAATAACATCTTTTGGAAACTAATGTCCAGAGGAATGTCTGCAACTTTTTAAACTGGCTTTGCTAGGCAAAGAGAAAAGCCATTTAAAGATCATACGCTAATGGATGGCCTCACTCATACAGTATGTTTTTATTTTATTTTATTTATTATTTTATTTTTAAAATTTATAAGCCGCCCCACTCCCAGAGGACTCTGGGCGGCTAACAATAAAAACACCATAAAACATAACAAAACAAACAGTACAATAACAGTCATCCAGGGGTCAGATTTTATAAACCCCAGGCCTGCCGGAAAAGCCAGGTCTTAAGCAGCTTACAGAAAACCAACAGGGTGGGAGCGGTCCTAATCTCCGGGGGGAGCTAGTTCCAAAATGTGGGCGCCATCACAGAGAAAGCCCTCCTCCACGGCCCCGCCAAATGGCACTGCTTGGCCGACGGGACCTGAAGGAGGCCCAATAATGTTCAATCATTATCCTGTTTATGTGGCTTAGAGTTTCATGAATGCAATTATTTTTTTACTTAAATCATGCTTTATGATTTAGCACTTTGCTTATTCAATATTTACTGGCTAACTATATCTTAGCTTGTATAACCACTGTGGGTTATAGTTGCTATCCAACTTTGGAATTGTTTTTGCGACCAGATTCCTGTATTAGAAACTAGATAAGTCAGAATTTTATTGGATTTCCTACAGCCACTAAACTAGAATAAGGGAACAGGAGAAGAAAAATTTAGTGTTGTTGAAACACAACTCCCAACAGGGCCATGTTGTGGAATAATAATAATAATAACAACAACAATAATAATTTATTAAATTTACATGCCACCTGATTTTTGGTGACTCTGGGCAGAGTTGTAATTTATCCCCATCTCAAAAGTGCTTCTTCACCTCATTCTTAACATTGTATTTCTTCTATATGTGGCAAAAGCATCACTAATAAGAATAACTCCAAATTAGATAATGTTGTCATTTTTTACTGTGGGCACATTGGCATACATTAAAAATGAAATTCTGTTGCTTGCTCTCAAACGTGTACACATACATAACACACATATAAACATGCTATACACAACATATGTATATACCGACACCCTTATATATAATTGCAATTGGGCAGACTCTCTGAAAATATCCTCCTATATCCACGTTAACCTCTCTTCCAAACATGGGCTTATTAAAAGACCATTGCTGATGCCATTTTGATCTTTTCACAATGGTTCACAGCATGATATTTTATCAGATGCCCTGTGATTAGGATCATACTATATACAAAAACTGACATGCTGAGCAGAGCCAAATCAAAGAAATGAGTGGCCCAAATGGTATCATTTGTAAGTGAAAGTGATTCTATGAAAGTGACTTGATCCCAGCAGTAGAATTAGTTTGATTCACCTAATAAGCTAAGCCATAAACCATGGTTTATCAGTCAGGCTGTGCTAAGACAAAAGCAAACAAACCACATTACATCTTAGCATAGAAGTGAATTAAACATCTGAGGATTAACTATCAACCAGATTAAAATAGGCAGAAGTGGGGTAAATTAATAATCTGATGTGCAATAACCCAGTTCCCTATGGGTAACATCTAATGCAGAGGTTCCCAACCTTTTCCATACCCCACACCTCTAGAATGCTTCTGATATATTTTCGCACCCCTTACAAAAGTTCAAAATAAAGGCAATGAATTATTCTAAACCCAAGTTTTTGCACCCCCTGGAATATCATCTCGCATTTGCTGAAGAAGAGTTTCTCTAAAGCAGGGGTGTCAAACTCCCAATGTCATGTGACTGCCAGCAATGGGGTGGCGCGGTTTCGCCATGACGCATCTGGCCTGTGGGCCGGCAGTTTGACACCCCTGCTCTAAGGTGTTTAAACACTTCTCAGTGTTTGTCTTGAGATCAGCATTGTGCAGATGAGTTGTAAGTGAAAGAATTCCAATATGCTAATTGATATGAATAGCCAGAATTTAGAAATAGTTAACAGAATTTATTTAAATTTCAGAGAAAATAAGCCAATTAATTTTTCATGCAAGACTCTCCAGTTTTCTTAGTTTGCACCCAATCTATTCAAATCAGCAGTTTCTCTTCAATTAAACCACCCCAATTAATTTTCCAAACAGATCTAGCTTGAATTTCTTTTCAGTAAATTCAATTCCCTTTCAATAAATTACCTTCCTCCATCATACTCCTATTACCTCTTTAGAGAAAACATACTTTGGATAATGATAAAAATAAATAAATATTTAACCTACTTTTAAAGTGTGCATATGACATAGAAATAGCAGCTGCTTATGAAGGGGTTCTTCTGAGAAATGTTTTAGATGAACAATAGACAAGACAGTTGTTGTCTTCCCTGTGGATAGGGAAAGTCACATATCTTATCTACCTAACAAACTTAATTGCTAGGCCTATTCTATCTCATATTATGCCTATACAATATAACATTTATGTTTATATCTTATTCGTAAACAATCTATTCTCCTATGTTGCATGAACTTATATAGAAGTCTCTATTACCACTTAGCTATCTTCAAATTG